TTTCCCTGGTGACAGCACTTCTGGGTTAAAGGCAGTCTGAGGACACACTTGAATGAATGGTGACTCCTCCAGAAATAAATCATGGAAAATGGTTAAACTGTATCGAGGAACCTTGAATCACTGGAATGGCAGCTCTGAGAAGGCAGGGTGCCTCCTGGGGCGCCCAGGATGCGGGTTTCTGGCAACCTTGATGGGCCAGCCCCTGGTCCTGCTGAGCCCCTCGTCCTGTTGGGCCCCTCGTCCTGCTGAGCCCCTCATCCTGCTGGGCCCCGCGTCCTGCTAGGCCCCTCGTCCTGCTGGGCCCCTCGTCCTGCTGGGCCCCTCGTCCTGTTGGGCCCCTCGTCCTGCTGGGCCCCTCGTCCTGTTGGGCCCCTCGTCCTGCTGAGCCCCTCGTCCTGCTGGGCCCCTCGTCCTGCTGAGCCCCTCATCCTGCTGGCCCCTCGTCCTGTTGGGCCCCGTGTCCTGCTGGGCCCCTCGTCCTGTTGGGCCCCTTGTCCTGCTGGGCCCCGCGGGCTTGGGTTCTTTCTGAAAGGTGAAGGCAGAGTGGGGCTCCTTCTCCAGTCCCACCCCCCCCCCCCACACACACACACACCCTGCAGACACTTCGGGTCAGCAAAGGGATTGAAATTAAAACACGTGGGCAAAATGCAGTTTACTGCTGGGAGCAGTAATAAGCGCGTACTTTTCTTCTTGTCTATTCTAAACTATCAAAAGTAAACCCTTTTCTCATTTTTCTATTAAACAACTTATTCAGCTAATTTTTTCAAATACTGATTATTTAAACTAATTGCAAAGTGGCACCTAGAAAGCCTTATAGTGAATCACTGACAAAATTAGGCAGGGGAGGGGGGGAAGATTAATCAAAGAACCTGTATGCAGACATGCGGAGCCCACGGACACAGACAGCATGGGGGCGGGGGGGGGGAAGGCCGGGGGAGGGGCAGAGGAGAGGCGGCCAAAGGGGCAAAAAGGGGACATCTGTAATACCTGCAGCAATAAAGATACATTTAAAAAGAAATAGAAAAAAATTAGGCTTGTGACTAATAACAATAATTGTTATTACTATTATTATTGGACAAACGTATATTATTGAATAGTACTGTGTCGTTGATTTTTATAGAAACTTTACTTTGACAAAGAAATGGAAAAGTTTCACTTTTAACTGTAGCCTTTTGACATTAAAATTAATTTGCCAATAAAAATGGTAGCAGATAAAATTTAAAAATGAAGAATAACTTTGGTGGATTTCTTTCTGATGGAGGCTATAATTATAATCTTGCATTTTGCTAATTTCCAATTTATGTTTGGGGGAGCACAAAATCAGTTTTCTTTAATTTCCCCCTCTGCTGGAGTGATCCTTAGCATTGTTAGTTAATAGCTACTGCAGGCCAGTAGGGCCCTAACTGATTAGGACAGTGGTTCTCAACCTTGGCTGCACATTAGAATCACCTGGGACTCTTTGTGAAAGCCTGATGTCTGCACCGAAGCCAGTGCAAAATGGCTGTGTTTGACCTGGCGTCACCACAGCGCGATTCCAGGGCCGGCGAGGGGTACGGGAAGGCCCTATCTGGCCACTTCTTATTCTGGAACGAGACTGTAGCCTTGGTTTCCTTTAATATTGGAGGAAATATAAACAGTTTCCAACACGATCGTGGGTGGGTGTCAGCTTTGTTGTTTGGGAAGCCTCAGATTTCTACGGTGACCACATCCGTGCCCATTAAGTCACGCTCCCCTTTACTCAAGCCTCCTCGCCCTCACAGAGCTGAGGTGTGAAGAAACACATATATGAACAGCAAGGTCCCTCCTTCCCCAACAAGTGGAAAACACCAACGGGTAATCTCTCTTTGGGCACCTTTCTAACAAGGGCCGAAATAAATAAATGAATCACTTTACCAAATTGACAAGTATGAAGAAGGAATGTTATGGCCTCATAATCTTTAAGCCACCAATATAAGCTTTGCCTTAAGGCTC